CAGTCTGAACCAGGTCCCCAGTCTGAACCAGGTCCCCAGTCTGAACCAGGATCCCAGTCTGAACCAGGTCCCCAATCTGAACCAGGTTCCCAATATGAACCAGGATCCCAGTCTGAACCAGGTCCCCAGTCTGAACCAGGATCCCAGTCTGAACCAGGTCCCCAATCTGAACCAGGTCCCCAGTCTGAACCAGGTTCCCAGCCTGAACCAGGATCCCAGTCTGAACCAGGTCCCCAATCTGAACCAGGATTCCAGTCTGAACCAGGTCCCCAATCTGAACCAGGATCCCAGTCTGAACCAGGTCCCCAATCTAAACCAGGTTCCCAATATGAACCAGGATCCCAGTCTGAACCAGGTCCCCAATCTAAATTGGGATCCCAGTCTAAACCAGGTTCCTAGTCTCAATCAGGTTCCCAGGCTAAACCAGGTTCCCAGTCTGAACCAGGTCCCCAATCTAAATTGGGATCCTTCTCTAAACCAGGTTCCTAGTCTCAACCAGGTTCCTAGTCTCAACCAGGTTCCCAGGCTTAACCAGGTTCCCAGTCTGAACCAGGTCCCAAATCTGAACCAGGATCCCAGTCTGAACCAGGTTCCCAATATGAACCAGGATCCCAGCGTAAACCAGGATCCCAGTGTAAACCAGGATTCCAGTGTGAACCAGGTTCCCAGCCTGAACCAGGTTCCCAGTCTAAACCAGGTTTCCAGTCTTATCGCCTCCCTCTAACTCACAGAGATGAACTTCTACGCTGCCTTTCTTTCGTCTTTCAGACTTTGAATCTCAGACTTTAAGCCTGTTTGTCCTTTTTTGTTGCATCACCACTGAACGAGTTAAAGACTTTCTGTAAATGAAATAAACTTGGACGGTTCCAGAACTAAAACCCAGATCCTCCAGACACTGTATTACATCCTGAAGGGGTTCTGCTGTAGTTCTTGTTTAACTAAAGCCATTTAGGGAACATATGAGTAAAATATAATGTAACCTGATAATCGGTTTGTTTCCTCATCGCTCTGACAGGTCTGACTGGGTCGGCACATCCTGCTGCTCCACAAAACTCCAACTACAGTGAGGAAAATAAGTATTTGAACACCCTGCTGTTTTTTAACTTCTCCCACTTAGACATCATGGGGGGGGTCTGAAATTGTCATTGTAGGTGCATGTCCACTGTGTAGGTGCATGTCCACTGTGAGAGACATAATCTAAAAAAAAAAAAATTCCAGAAATCACAATGTTTAATTTTTTTAACAATTTATTTGTATGATTCAGCTGCAAGTAAGTGTTTGAAAACCTGAGAGCATCAATGTTAATATTTGGTACAGTAGCTTTTGTTTGCAGTTCCAGCGGTCAAACATTTCCTGTAGTTTTTCACCGGGTTTTGCACACACTGCAGGAGGGATTTTGGCCCACTCCTCCACACAGATCTTCTCTAGATCAGTCACGTTTCTGGGCTGAGAAACACAGAGTTTGAGCTCCCTCCAAAGATTCTCTATTGGGTTTAGGTCTGGAGACTGGCTAGGCCACACCAGAACCTTCTTCCAGAGCCAGTCCTTGGTTATCCTGGCTGTGTGTTTCGGTTCATTGTGATGCTGGAAGACCCAGCCTCCACCCATCTTCAATGCTCTGAGGGAAGGAGATTGTTCCCTAGAAGCTGGTAATACATGGCCGTGGTCACCCTCTCCTTTATGCAGTGCAGTCGCCCTGTTCAATGTGCAGAAAAACAGCCCCAAAGCATGATGCTACCACCCCCATGCTTCACAGTAGGGATGGTGTTCTTGGGATGGTTCTCATCATTCTTCTTCCTCCAAACACAGTTAGTGGAATTATGAATAGGGCTAGGTAAAAAAAATCGATTTAATTGATTTTGAATCGATTCCTTTACATTTTTGCAAAATCAATGTCTATGAAATGAGATTGATTCGTTTTATAGTGACGTGCGTGACGTTCACATTCAGATGAGCAGGAAAGGTGCATTCAAAATACTTCAAGCCAGACAGCTGCAAATATAGCTAATAGGGTGATTGAAGACATTATCAAATGAAGGCTGACCAGCAAACACCCTGTAGTTGTTACAGACAACGCTACAAATACGGTTTGTGCAGTGGAGATAATGCAACTCATGCATGTCTGCTGTTTCCCCGCTGTGTCACGTCTTCTCGCTCGATTGAGGCTTTTTCACTTTTCACAAACAAGTTTGCACTTTTGAGACAGTTTTGTTCATGTCTCAAGTTTAAACTGTCCGATTTACAAGTTTGCACTTTGTGTTTAATATGACATGTTTAATACATGAGTGTTTTGAAACACAGTTGAACCACTTTCATTATTGTAAAAACTGATCGAATCAAAATTAATCGATTTAGAACTGTATGAATCAAAATCCAATCGATTCAGGACGAAAATACCCAGCCCTAATTATGAACAAAAAGGTCTCATCTGATCACACGACTTTCTCCCATGACTCCTCGGGATCATCCAGATGGTCATTGGCAAACTGAAGACGGGCCTTGACGTGTGCTGGTTTAGGCAGGAGGATTCTTCCTGATTGTATGGGATGAACAGGTGTCTCTGCAGCTAACCACCTCAAACAGGTGTAACTAACTCCGGATAATAAATGGAGTGGAGGTGGACATTTTGAAGACAGACTAACAGGTCTGTGAGGGTCAGAATTAGCTGATAGAGATGTGTTCAAACACTTATTTTCCTCACTGTACCTACAGCACCGCTCTGAAGTTTACATACACCACGAATGTGCATCTCTGTTCAAAACTACTTTATTGATCCCAAGGGAAAATAAGTGTTTCTGTTAAACGGTTGCTGTAGATGTATTAAAGATCAAGTTCCTCTTAGTTTGATCTTCATGTAGGTCCTCTTTTAAGATTCATTAACATTCTGGGGTTTTCATGCTGACACCCTGAGTAGGGTTATTATAGTTCACTAAAACTAACAAAAAACCAAGACTATCCAGAACCAAAAGATAAAACTATATATATTTAAATACTGCTGTGAAAAGAGGTTTTCTTTACACATGGCTTAAAATAGTTAGTCAGCAGAAATTGAACACGTTTCATAAAATAGTATCTTGTGTTGAATTTATTTAAACATAATTTTATAAATAAAACAAAGCTTTTTGAATTCTGGCTTTAACATGAACTAAAGTGGAAAAATAACTACACTGAAACTCAGCATTATTAAAATGATAAGAACTAATAAAAACTGGACTATCCATTCATAAAACAAATTAAAACTGAATTAAAGGATGAAAATTGTTACAACTAAATCAACTACAGGGAAAAATCCTCCTTAATCCTCTTGTT